AAAACTGTGTCCCTAACATGCAACACTCTGTCTAGGGGTTTAGATTTAATTTAAAAAATTAAAAATTCATCAACTAAAATTCCTTTTTGCTGCCATTCCAATAAGTAAACTAATACCAATATGGAAGGCATTCTCAATACTGTCAAATGTGCTCTCCTTTTCTTTTCCTTTGTAGGGCTGGGGGCTACATGGAGAGGCTTACAGGGCTGTCTCCCCCTTCTGGGTTCCTTCCCAGCCCCCAAATATATCTCTCTATGGATTCAATGGAGAAAATGAAGTAAAATTAATTTGACCAAATAGTTTCTCCTTATCCCCTCAAACTGAAAGTTAAATGAGAACCAAAATAGACACCTCATTAGCGTACAGTTGTTTCTAGAATACAGGATCCAAAATTGGGCTCACAAGAGTTGCTGGACAGATACCCAAAGCTGGGGGATGTGAGAGAGAATAGTAGTGAAACCAGAAATGAAAGCGCCTTGGACAAATGCCAGGCAGATTAAAAAAGGGTGAAGTCAAACACCTAAAAACATCAACTGCGGTAAGAAAGGCACATAAGGAATCCAGATGGTCCCAAAGGGAGATCCCCACTAGGTCGAAAGTCAATGACAAAAGCAAGCGGTCACCAAGCAACAGGCTAGGGTGGACACCGATGCCGGTGTACTTCGTTTCGGTAGGTTTTGTTTTACCACCTGGTAGAAGTGTTCAGGGGTTAGGTGTTGGGAGTCAGATGTTAACTGTTACGAAAAGGGAAATCAAGAACCTAAGAACAGTTTCAGCTCTTAGCCAACTCCAGGGCACACAGCAGAACTAGCCGTCTGACATTGGGTAGGGCAGAAACCTGAATTTGACCATGGATCATGAACTAGACCTCTGAGGAAGTCTTGGTCGCCTGGCTGGGTAATAAAAGAGAATGAGAATACTGTTCCAATTCTTGGTGAGGCGAGCAGCCAACTTCTCACTGAGTTCAGTGGGCAAATGAGGCTTAGAAACAACACAACACACTCCCTGAGCTCTGCTCAGAACTCTCCAAAGCCAGGAAGTAGGAGCCTCCTACTCATCCATCCCACATCCAAGCCCCTGTGCTCTGCTAGGCGGTCCACAGAAGTGGACCTGACCTAAACCCATCAGCTACTTGTTCTCGGCATTGGTTCCCCCACTTACCCTACAGAGAGAAAGCTACTGGCCCAGAGAAATCTGCTTTGAAATCCAAATGCAACTTCCTTTCCGCACATCTTCCTCCTAGCCCTTCAAAAGCAATGGCTTGGCTTTGCGGTGAAAGGAAACAAGCAGAAAGTCCCTGTAGGCATATGCCCATCCAGCTGCCTTTTTATCTATATGAGTCTCGCACCCCTCACAGACCAGATGAGTTCCCACACTCCCTTCTGTCCCCACTGACAGATCCAGACAGCTCCTCCAACATCTCCACCTCCAACCCCCGCTGACCCTCGATAAACCTGGTTTTCCACTGTTTAAACAAATAGAGGACTGGAGGTGAGGGGTTCCCTGAAATGCAGACTAGAAACAGAGTAAGACGAGAAACTTGTTTCAGATACTCATCTGCTTAGGCATGTTCTGGGTCTCAAAGTAAAACTGCACTTTCTGACGTCCTAGCCCCAAAAGTTTGGAACGTGGCTTCAAACAAGCCTGGGACATTGGTCCCATTGTTTAACAGCTTCTTTCTCCCACGTGACTCAAGCTCTGATCAGATATGCAGCTATCTTCTCCCGGGACTATCTCCAAAAACACTGGCCTCACACACTGCTTTACAAACTCTTTACGTATCCATAGGATTCACCATCATTTCATCATTTATGGCCCGGCAATGCTACAGCATGCATGGGCAGCCCGTTTACGGTGGTTCTTTAGTTATTCCTATCCTGGGCAGTCCAAATGCCTGTGTTATTGTTTTACCCAAGATTCCAAGTTTCCACAGTCTTCCTTTACGCTGTCTATCCAGCACTTTTGGGGCCTTGCTCTTCACCTCCCGTGCACTCCTCCAAGCAGTGCTATCTTCGGGTATCTGCCGTCATTCATTCTCATAACATGGCCGAAGTATCTCAAGCGCCGCTGCCATATCCTGTGTACCTCTCCCTCAATACACCCATGTTATCTGAACAAAGAATCCCCTTTCTTGTTTTTTTTTTTTTTTTTTTTTTTTTTTGTGTGTGTGTGTGTGTGTGGTTTTTCGAGACAGGGTTTCTCTGTGGTTTTGGAGCCTGTCCTGAAACTAGCTCTTGTAGACCAGGCTGGTCTCGAACTCACAGAGATCCGCCTGCCTCTGCCTCCCGAGTGCTGGGATTAAAGGCGTGCGCCACCACCGCACGGCAAGAATCCCCTTTCTATTTATGCTTTATCCTAGCTTCTCTGGTCAGGGATCCGCTGGCTGCATGTCCAAGGCCTTCCAAGGAGCAGCAGGCCTTGGAGCAGCAGGGCTCCGTTTCTCCACCTTTCTTTCATCCTTTAAAGAGAAACACGGTCAAAGTACCTTAGGCTTCCTTAAAAAAATCACCTAGCTTTCCTGACGTGATGTGTTCACAGAAATAGTACCGTGGAGAGTGTCAGATGAATATAGCTTTCCCGACCACCCAGTTCAAGTTTGTTTGCCATCCCAAGGACAAACACGCGGTTACTCTGCCTCCATACTGCTCTCTCATTTCCCCTCACAGGGCAAGCGGAAGTAGGGAAAGCACCAGGAAACTGCACTTGGTGGGACACCTTCCTTGCTTAAGGACTATGGCACAAGCTATCAAACTTAACTCTCCTGACTTTACCCTCCAGGTTTCCCTTCCTTGTACATATACCCACTACTCTAATTAGGCCACCACCGTCCTCAAGAGAACGGCAGTTTTCCGTATCTCAGCGTAGACAGCCCAGGCTTCTTAACCTCCCACACCATACTCAAGCTCAAATGACTCTTTAATCTGTGAGACAGAGAATATTAACTTGGAAGCAGGTGAAAGGAGATTTGAGGTCTGAAGGGGTTCTTATGAACTAAACTGTGTGGTGTCCTCTAATAAATGCCGGGCTTTGAGAAGCATGCAGACACGACAGGTCTCTTTTGGAGCACCAAGGGAGGGGCGTGGACAGGTCTGATGGCTATAAAGCAGCGGCCCTTGATGGTGAGGGACTATAAATCCTCAAAGAATGACAGCACAACCTCAAGCCTACTCCACTCCATCTTTGCACCCCGGAGCCTCCCACGTCCCTTCAGAAATCCAGGCTCTTTTGCCCCATTAGTTATATTAGTCCAGGAAGGTGGCCATCCCTGCCAACAGACTACTTCCTCCTTCCCACTCCTTGGCAGGGAGTGCTCTTACCTAGCTGAGCACTCAGTGGGACCTCTGAGAACTCAGGGATCCCAGGGCCTCTGTTGGTAAGCCAATGGACTCTCTCCAGTGGAGATTTCAGAAGACGACCCAGGACAGGGAAACTCTGGCTTCTTTACTCTGTGGGTCTAGTCAGAAAACCCTTAGCAAAGGACCATCTTCTCTGGTGACCGATGTTTCAACTCTCTGACAACCATCAGCCCTCGTCCCTTCCAAGTGATTTCAGGACTTTAGTGGTGAGACCCATAATTCTTTTCCCCAAGTGATGAAGGCTTTTACTTGGAAGGAACAGAAACACAAAGCTAACAATAATGACTAAGCAACTGGGTCAAAGGCATCCAGCCCAGACAGATAAAATGCAGGCAAGATGACACAGTAAAGAGGCAAACACTGGACAGAGGCAGCGTGGTGAAAGAGGAGGAGTTGCTGGGATTCAGAAGAAGGATAGGAAGCCCCTTCAAAATAAATCCTCTGGGCGTAGGAGAGGGGAACTCGGGCGAGCTAGCCTTTCAAGTTTGGCATTGTAGGTTTGGATTTCAAATTTAGTGTTATCCACACAGTTTAAGGAAAATAAAAGAGAAAAGATCTTGAATCTGATAGATCACTTAAAATAGGGAAGTGGTACTCCTGAATTTATTGACTTAGGAGCTACTAACAAAGGTAAGGCAGTGCTCTATCTGGCACCACGTGTTCATACAGACGCATTTCACTTCAAAACACTCCCCATCCAGGATCCTTTCTTTTTTCAACTTCTTGACCATGTAAAGGCTTTCCTAAATAAAATGACAGACTTGTGTCTACTTGACACATTAATTCCCACCATCCACCCAATTCGTCCACACTGCCTCCAAACTGATGTTTAAAAATTAATTCAAACATCAAAGATCACTTTTTAATATTTTGAAATTTTACATGCCCGCTACCATTGACTTGCAAATACAATTGAAAACAAACAAACAAAAATCCACAGGCCAGCAAGTGACCCTTAAGTGAACTTAAACAACTCAAAACTACTTCCACACAGGCTTCCCTAACACCTTGGAAAGGTGGGAAAATAAATACTGGCATTAGACTTCGTTTCCTAACAGGGTAAACGAAGGCACTTAGTTTAATCAATTTGCCAGGGGTTATATGGCTGGAAAGAGAAACCAATTCCCCCTCCAGTAGACTTCAGCACTCAGGGTGGCTAAAAATGGGGACCCCCCCCCTCCTTGAGAGCTTTAGGGGGTAAATAAAAGCTACTAGTTTTAGAAAGAGGCTGGGGAGAATGGGGGATGCCACTTGATGCGTCCGACTGTGAGCTGATCTCTTGCAAGAAAGCGTCCCCTGCAGGCCCAGAGGTTGCACCCACCCGTTTTGGGCTCAGACCCCTTAGGCGCCGCTAGCCAAGTCGGAAAGCCAGGACCGGACCGAGCAGCCCGGCAGAGCCGAGTGGATCTCGGGGTGGCGCGGGGGCCGCGGGCCGGGGACACCATCTGCTCCAAGCCAAGCGGCGCGGGGCCGGTGACAGGAAGGATGCTGCGCCGCCGCACACCTGCCAAAGCCTCCCGCGCTCTCCCACCCGCCTCGGGCGCCCGAGCTCGGCCGCGCTAGGCCGGTGCGACGCGGCGCCGTGCCCGAAAGCAGCGCTCGGCGAGGCCGCCCTCCTCCCGGATCCCGTCCAAACGGCGTCACCTGTGCCGGGTCCCGGGATGAGTCGCGCGGGCGGCGGCTGCGCGGAGCCGGGAGAGCGCAGCGGGGTTTACAGGCGCCTGGTCATCCGGCCGGGCCGGAGGACTGCGCCGGCCGGAGCCACGCGCGAGATGCTCGCGGGAGCCGGGGACGCCTGAAGGAGCAGTCGCCGAGGCTCGCGCCGCCGCTGCCGCCGCGCCCGCCCGGACTGCGGGCTCGGGTTACCGCAGAGCGGCTCCTTAAAGGGGCCGCGGCCGCTCGGACTCGGCTGGCGCTCGCCTCGGCTCCGACCCCAGGCCAGAGTGGGCGGGGCCCGGAGGCCGCGCGTGGGGCCCACCTCCCCGCGCTGGAACTTAAATGCTGCGGGGGGCTCGGAGCCGAGAATTGCGGCGGTGGGGCTGCGATGGGATTCCCGAGAGCTCACCCTCGGCCCGGGTGCTGTGAGTGTGCGGTTCGCGGGCTTTCCTAGCAAGTCACAGACCTCACAAGTGGGGAGAAGTATGTGAGTCCGCCTCCGCGGCGGTCAGCGCCCCGGCTCGCCACGTAACCAAAAACCTTTTCCAATGATGAATTCTGCTTTATATGCCCAAATACCGGGCAAATGATCGGCATGGTTTGCTTATCGGGAAGGGGATGAAAGGGCAATTGCTGATTTTTTTTTTTCTGCCACGTCTGACACGGACAAAGTCGAGCCCCGCCCCGTTCTGGTTTGAGGCTGCAGGTGCGTGCCAAAGCAGGTAGGAGGCTTGTGTCTGGAAGAGGCGTGTTGTCTCCGAGCAGCCTCTTCCCAAACCCCTGGAGAACACCCTTGAAGGACCGCAAGCAGTCTAAAGAGTGTAGTGCCTGCCTAGCATGCCCAAGGCCCTGGATTTGATTTCCTTGTAACAAAAATGGATACAATAGCAATCCACTTACATCCGGGACCCCTCTGCAGTCAGGGTGTTTAAGTAAAACTGGACTTTTTTTATACAGGCTGAGTATCCCAAGTTGCCAAGTTCATAATCTGAGCTTTCTGGCCCGCTGTATCAACCAGACAGAACTGCCTAGAAAAAAAAAAAAAACACGAAGTATATATAAGCTGCATAATTTGCAAAAAAAAAAAGCAGTCACAAGTCCAATTTTTTGGAAAGAAGTAAATTCTAAATAAATAGAATCATTTGGAAATTCCACCACTAATGACATAGGGCAGTTTGTGAGGAAGACCTACCAATAAAGCTTACGTATTTGACCTAATATGTTCCCACACAGCAACAGAACATGCACAATACTCTCACACCACATCTGTATTTAGATGCAATGGGAAAGGAATAGAACTGAAATCCTATTTATTACATCCTAGAATTCTTTTTCGTGGGGCTGTTTTCAGCTAATTGGCCTCACCAAAGCTCAATTTCTTCATCTATATAAATGGAACAGAAATTCAGTCATTTCTGAAAGCTTCCGGTCTTGGCAGAACCACAGAGGGAAACCTCTCTCTCGGCTACAGGGTCAGAAACGCAACCCAGGAAAAGACCACGTAAGATAGTCGCCACGTTCTGCCCAAGGCTCTCAGAGCATTCCAGGGCAGCCGTGCTGTGCCCACACCTGTTTCATCACAGATACTTCACAGCCTGCGTGGCCCTGGACTGTTTTGCTTTGCTCCATAGCTGCTTCGTGTGTTCACGTAGCTATATCATAACTCCGAGGGCCCATGATGGTCACAGGCAGCTATCTGTAGAGTCGGTCCAGATAGGACAAATTTCACAGTGCTATCTCAGGGCTCCGTCATCCACAGGCCCTCTCCTGGCTTATCATTGCTGGTTGTCAGTTGCTCTGTTCTGCCCTGATAAAGGCACCATCATTACCTTTGACATCTGTAATTCTTTGACTCCAACAGTAATAACCAAGCAAGCCAAGCAAACACACAGGAATACACTATACTTGATGCCCTACTGTTCCTTCATATTAGGCCTCTATACATGCATCACCAAACTGCAAGAATGCATTGAGATTACACAGACTCAGTGACTATATTAAGGACAAAGACTGAGTTCTGAAAAGAGTTCAGAAAATACTAGTTGGGTCTCAAAACTTATTTTTCTCCCTCTCCCCCCCGAGACAAGAGTCTCAGGTAGCCCAGGCTAGCATCTAATTCATAAAAGATCCACTGTAATACACTCCCAGCTTGAATGTTGAAACTTTTAAATTAATTTAAAAAGCAGTGACTTTAGGAGAGAATATCAACTCTATATTTTCTGAAATTTTTATGCAATTTAACTTCTTTAAACAGTTCATTTCCTTTAGTCTCCCTTAAATCCTAGTTACTCTTAATGAAACTTCAACGTTCTGTGTTTAACAAAGAGGACCCTGAGAGAGACAAACATGGATCTACATAGAAAGGTGAAAAAGACAAGATCTTCTGAGTAAATTGGGAGCATGGGGGTTATGGGAGAGGGTAGAAGGGGGGGGAGGAAAAGAGGGGAGCGGAGAAAAATATATAGCTTAATATAAACAATAAAAACATCTATTTACTATAGGAAGTCCTTCTACATTTTTAATGTGTTGCCTCAAGGCTAAGTTGCACTTATACTTTTTTTTTTTTTTTTTTTTTTTTTTTTTTTTTTTTTTTTTGGTTTTTCGAGACAGGGTTTCTCTGTGGTTTTGGAGCCTGTCCTGGAACTAGCTCTTGTAGACCAGGCTGGTCTCGAACTCGCAGAGATCCGCCTGCCTCTGCCTCCCGAGTGCTGGGATTTCTTATACTTTTTGATCATAAAAATGGCTTAAGAGAAATAAAAGTATCATCTACTCTTAAAAAGAATACACACACACACACACACACACACACATATATGTATATATATATATATATAATTCCCTTAAATGATGTAAATTTCCCTGATGAATTAGTTTCCAAAAAAATCCTTATACTTCCAAATAGAGCTGATTGTAAAATAGAGGCTGGGAATGACTGTTTTTAGAATAACAAGGTAGGTCAGGAAAAGCTATCCGAAATCTGCCTCAGTTCTCCTCTGACTGTGAGAGAGATGGAGGCTAAATGACCAGGAAGCTTTGGCTGGAGCTGAGGATATGGCTCAGGGGCAGAGCTCTAGCCTGGTATGTACAAAGGCCCTGGGTTCATCTGCAGCAGTAAAGGTGGAGGGAGGAAGGGGAAAGATGAGAGGGAGTATGGGGTGCAGTTAGTAATAAAAATGAGTAACTGCTTTAGAATTTTTAGTATATCAAGACTTTTTCTGATAGATATTATGAGTATTTAAAAGTACTTTCAGAGGCTGGAGAGATGGCTCAGCAGTTAAGAGCACTGCCTGCTCTTCCAGAGGTCCTAAGTTCATTTCCGAGCAACCGTATGGTGGCTCACAACCAGCTGTCATGAGGTCTGGCGCCCTCTTCTGGCCTGCAGGCATACAAGCAGACAGAATACTGTATACTAAATAAATAAATAAAGACTTTAAAAATGTACTTTCACGCCTTTAATCCCAGCACTCGGGAGGCAGAGGCAGGCGGATCTCTGTGAGTTCGAGACCAACCTGGTCTACAAGAGCTAGTTCCAGGACAGGCTCCAAAACCACAGAGAAACCCTGTCTCGAAAAACCAAAAAAAAAAAAAAAAATGTACTTTCAACTGTGTTTTAGGAAGAAACTATTTGAAGATATTAAGAAAAGTTATCCCTATGGGGGTGACATTCTGGATAACTTTTGGGTTCTTTTTGCTTACATTATGTGTTTTTCTCCCTGGATACATGTATATTGCTTTTGTTTACAGTTTAATTCTAATAAAATTAATATACATGTATATATGAAAATCTTAAAGCTTCTTAAAGCTTCCAGTAAAAGCCATGGCTGCCCACCTCTCACCGATCTTCAGCCATTCTTCAAACCCTGCTGTGAGTTTCCTATTTTCTAATACTATTCCCCTGCAGCTTCTTGATTTTCAGTTCTAGACATCATCAATTGACATCTCGTCACAGTATTGGAGGATCTAGCACCTTCCCACAAACACCATTGCCACCACATCCCCCAACACCTGCCCTGCCCTTGCTCCTAAATTAGCCTCATCACAATTGATAAACAGTAATTAAGATTTACGTAATCCTGACCTGGTGAAGGGAAGATATTGCCAAATCAAGTAGCGTGCGTGTTAACATGTCTTCAATGCTCCCCCTCTGGAGCCAATAGCTGGCCTTGCTTTTTTTTTTTTTTTTTTTTGCTTTGTAGAACGTACATCTAACTTAAATGCTATCCACATGTTTTAACATTTCCATCAAATACCCATTGGTAATGTCTTCCAAAACCCAAACATGTCACTTTGACTCGACTCTCATTTTGCTGAGGCACTGACTCAGTGGTGTCTTCGAAGGGATACTCGGGAAACAACACAGTCAGAATAACACTGTCTTTTTCCTGTTCTCCCAGGGATGTTGAAACAGCTGGTGCCTCCACAGTTCCTATGCCTCTTTGACTTTTTCTTCCTAGACTTTCCCATTATGCTTGAAAGTCTGAAACATCCCAATAAAGTATTTTATTTACAATGGGTCTTTTTCTCATTGATTACATTGAACAGTAGGGGTTTCCATCTGACCTACAATTTTTCATTTCCTTGAAGTTCTTGGTCGTAGTAGTGAATTCTGGGTAGTAGTTGCATGTCTATTTTATTCCCTAAATGTATTGCTCTCTCATCTGATTCTGAATCCAGCACTCAAAAAGCTGGGTGTGCTGGCACACCTGCAACCTCAGAAATGAGGGGAGGCAGGTGGATCCCAGAGGGCCACTGGCCATCTATTTTAGCAAAATGGCAAGCTCCTGCTTCAGTAAGAGACTGTGTCTCAAAACAAAGTGAGGCAGAGAGCAGTAGAGGAAAGACACCCAGCTTGACCTGACTTCTGATTCCATTTGCATGTGCATAGGTGAGCACACCTACACACAGAGATAGTAAACACATACACACACTCACACACAGTGGTCTACTTGACCCACGTTCAGCTCTTGGACCCCGAGCCCTTGGACTTTTCCTATCAAAATATGGATGGCTCCTAGAAACCAAGACTATCTACACTTTCTTACTTTGATATTTACCTCACAATTTTGCAATCACCCTTTAACTCAGTTCATTTCCTCCTAATCCAGGTGATGACCTAACTCACTGCATCTTTCCTGTTCCCAAGACGTATCTGATATCAACGCCACCGTACAATAGCCATTAAGAATTCTGTTGAGCTTCAGGCCTACATTCCTAGTATGCTGCTGTGTTTTCCCAGATCCACCACGGTAAAATATAAAATACATTGCCTCTCTTCTCCATATTCTTCATTCTTCCACCCACATGCTACTCAGGTCCAACGCTGGTTAACTTCCAGGACCAGATGAGATGGAATGCATTCAGGGTGGCATGGTGGACCAGATGAGACGGGTGC